TAGAGTCAACTAAATATTAGCAACAGAAAATACAGCCAGAACGCAGAAAATTGAACTTTTTGGAAGTCTGATAACAACAAATTCTTCAGCCTGACCTGTAAGAGGGGCGAAACCAGCAGCTGGCGGAGCGGGGTTGCACAGGAAAACTTGGTCAGACGGACTCAGGCGCGAGGAACCCAGGAACAGGGTTGCAACAGGTGGACCCAGCGAGCTACCGCAGGGAACCAGCGAGGGAGCAGGGCCAAGATTTGACTGTCGCGCATTGGTGCGCAGACAGACCAGCGAGGGAGTGGGCGGTTAGACAGGACCCTGCGGGACCCAGCAGGCCCCAGCGGCGAGCGGCAGCAGAGGGCACTGCCATTTCCCTGCTCTGACCCCGCCTCCACATAACAGCGTCATAACCCAGCGACCTGAGTAGCCCTGCCACGGTGAACCACTTAAGGCTCTGCTCCTCACCCAGCACTGTGAAACAGCAGAGGGGGTCGCCATTTCCCCGCTCTGACCATGCCCCCACATACAGGGTCACAAACCAGCGACCTGGGTGGCCCCGCCCTGGTAAACAACTAAGGCTCAGCTCCTCATACTTAATGGGCATGAACAGACCAAAAATGGCTCAAGAACAACTTAGAGCCCCAGAGCCGATAAATCTAAGCGATGAAGAAATAGCCAAACTTTCAGATGCACAGTTCAAAACACTGGTGATCAGGATCCTCACAGAACTGGTTGATTTTAGTCACAAATTAGAGAAACATATGAAAGCTAAACTAATTGAAATGAATGGTAATGCGCAGGAAACCAATAGTAATGGAAAGAAGGCTGGGACTCAAATCAAGGGAGTAGACCAGAAAGAAGGAAAAAATGACCAAACAGAAAAGAATGAAGAAACAAGAATTCAAAAAAATGAGGAGAGGCTTAGGAACCTCCAGGACATCTTTAAACTCTACAACATCCGAATTATAGGGGTACCAGAAGGGGAAGAGGAACAGTCACGAGTGGAAACCTTGTTTGAACAAATAATAAAAGAGAACTTCCCTGTTCTGGCAAAGGAAATAGACTTCCAGGAAATCCAGGAAGCTCAGAGAGTCCCAAAGAAGTTGGACCCAAGAAGGAACACACCAAGGCACATCATCATTACATTAGCCAAGATTAAAATGAAGGAGAGAATCCTAGAAGCAGCAAGAGATAAGGGGACAGTCACCTACAAAGGAGTCCCCATCAGACTGTCAGCGGATTTCTCAAAAGAGACCTTACAGGCAAGAAGGGGCTGGAAAGAAGTCTTCCAAATCATGAAAGGCAAGGACCTATATCCAAGATTGCTCTATCCAGCAAAGCTTTCATTTAGAATGGAAGGGCAGATAAAGTGCTTCTCAGATAAGATCAAATTCAAGGAGTTCATCATCACCAAGCCCTTATTATATGAAATGTTAAAGGGACTTATCTAAGAAAAAGAAGTTAAAAAAACATGAACAGTGAAAGGACAGCAAACTCACAGTTATCAACAACCACACTTAAAACAAAAGCAAACTAAAAGGACAGCTAGATCAGGAGTGGAAACATAGAAATGAAGATCTCAAGGAGGGTTAGCAACAGGGGAGTGGGAGGAGGAGAAGTGGGGAGAAGGTACAGAAAATAAGTAGCATAGACGGTAGATAGAAAATAGATGGGGGGCAAGAATAGTATGGGAAATATAGAATCTAAAGAACTTGAGACATGTGGTCATAAACTAAAGGTGGGGGAAGGGGTGTGCAGGGTGGAGGGGAATGAAGGGGGGGAATAGAACAACTGTAATGGCGTAATCAATAAAAAAATGATTTAAAAAATTAAAAAAAAAGAATTTTATAGTTAATCCCTTGTTTTTGCTAATTAGCAATGACATGTGGATTGCTAAATTTTCCCAAGAGATTTCATTGTAAGACCAAAGAAAAAATAAGATAGGCTAGAAGTAGAAAATATCTGTAAAAATAGTTTTTTTGATAAAACAAAGAGACAGAAATAAAATGTGCGGGAAAGATGCATGACTAGTGCCGCACCTGAACTTGTGCTTTAATGAGAGCCTGTTCTGCTTCTCTCAGAAAGTCTTCTATTAAATAATGTGGTCCTAATGTGATGCTAGAGATTGTTTGGAGGCGCAAATATAATCCAGAGTCAAAGCACAAAAAAGGCCAGAAATTAAAGGAGCGCGAAATCAAGCAACTCCAGGAGACACTCAGTCTTCCTGCAAACACTCCATAGACCCAGCTGCTGGGCTTGTGCCAGTGCACATTCTGAGGGTGCTGAAAAGAGCTTCCTGTTGTTTAGTCACTCACAGGAAAGTCAGCTAGGCATTTCCCCCCTTTTTATCCTGTGGTCATATTTAAGCTGCTGAGTGTCCAAGTTTCATTACCCAAGGGCAGCCTCAGCCTCCTTTAGAACCAGGCTAGGAATGTGGACTGGGACCAAGAGGATCCCAGAGGGCCTGCTACTCTGGTGACATTTACCAGAGGACCACGTGGTCTCCAGCCAAGTCAAAGTAAAAGCCTGAGAAGTATGGCAGGTAGATTTGTCCTGTGCCTCAGCTACACCCGTATATACTGGAGAAATCTAAGTAGGAGACACTAACAATAATCCCACTAAAGGGGAAAGAAGAAAAGAACTAACCTAAATAACTTTGAAAAATAATATTTTGGCTAACATGGCTAAAAATGAAAATAACTCTACAAATATTATACTGTAGTTAGTAAACTTGTTTCCATAGCTATATGGATTAGGAATTCTGAAACTATAATATACTAAATAAACAAATAAGTAAATATATTTTAGATAATAAGGCTCAGGTTTCTCACTGTTCAAGAAAGAAGTTATAGACAAGCAAGAAGGGAAAGCTATGCTGGAACCTGTGGTACTGGGATAGGGTAGAAGTTATCATCATAAACTCATGATTAAAATACATACAGATACAGAAATAATGTGCAAATAAGGAAAGAGGAGGGATGGCATGACCCCCATGTTGTTGCACTGGAATTGGATGTGTTAGTGTGAACTCATGGATTTTAATATACATACTGATAGACACAGAAATAATATAACATGTGTATATGGGTTAGTATATATATATATGTATGTATATATGTATATATACATATATATATATATATGTATATATGTATTATATATAAAATATTTCCCAGTCCTGTCTGCTGAGAGGGCCCAGAAACAGTGACATTCCAGGAGCAGTGAACACACCTAGTTCCAAGGTCTTGGTTTCTAAATATTATTCTCCAATAAAAGGAACCGGGCTTCCATGTAAAAGTAGTTGATTCTAGGGTTAGGGCAGGGAATATACAACATGAGCCTGAAACATCTTGTGGTGAAAGAAAGAAAGGGAGTGCCCAAAAAAGCATTCGGAAAGGGCAAAAGAGTCAACTTAAAATATCTCCTAATGGCTAAAGTTAGAACAATTTGAGTAACAAAGTAAAAACAACCATAATATTAGATTATAACCCACAGAATACAATAAATACCCATGAACCTATACCAATACAAATAAATCACTGAATAAATGAATAAATAAACAAATGGGAGAAAGAGGACAGTTTTTCCTTCTAAAAGAACTTCAGTTAATAAATGGAGAATAAATAAGTATAAAATTATCATGAGACAAACACCTCACTATATAACTGTTACAGGCAAGTTCCACCAATGGATACTAAAATTAACAGGTTAAAGTTGAAGGATAAGCAGGATGGTTGCATAGTTTCACAGTATTTCCTCTAAGGCATTTATGAGTTACAAAGGGGAAATGGTAACTTTACAGTGGGGAAACTCATCAGACAGGGCTAACACCAACAGTAATAAGATTATTAATGCTGTGTACCCCCGATATGATATGCTGAGAAGGACAGAGCCTCGCTTTTTGTAGTATTCTTACCGAAAATGCATAATCTCAATTTAAACAAAAGGAAACCTCAGAAAACCAAAACTAAAAGATATTCTGCAGAATACCTGACTAGTACTCTTCAAAAACGCCCAGATCATAAAAGACAAGGAAAGACAGGCACAGGGAGGGGGCTAGGGAGACATCACAACTAAAGGCAACATGAAATCATGGACTGAGTCCTGGCAGGGAAAAAGACCTTAGTGGAAAAACCGATATCATTCTAATAAAAGCTACAGTTTAGTCAATGATATTTAATAGTATTATACCGGTGTTAATTTCCCAGTTTTGATAATTACACTATGTTTATGTAAGACATTAACATTGGGGAAAGCTGGATGACGGGTATTCAGGAACTCCGTGTACTATTTTAGCAACATTCTGTATATCTAAAATTGTTTCAAAATAAAAACTTAAAAACAATAAATCAAACAGAATCTGTGGCAAAATGGAAGTAATTAATTCATAATCTCTCATTTTAAAATACACTGGCTGTTCCTTTTAAATTAGAGTAATCTGTTTCAGTAGGGCACTCAATTTGTAAAACTCTTATGTGTTTTAAATTCATACCTAGCACTTCTATCTAAAACATACATTATTTCTTCTTCTACAGTGGACTTCAATAAAATTTAAAAGTTAATCTTATTGGGAACACAAGTCTTACTCATCTCTCACTGGTTGGTACTTTTTCCTTACACCATCTCAAGAGGGCCCCCTGAGTACTAATTCCCCTTCCTACTTATTGTCAGAAACCTGAATGGTTACTGCAGTAGGATGAACTAACTCCATGAAGAACGCAGCATCTAAGACTATTTGCCAATCTTTCTCAAAATGTTAATCCCAGTTCTTAACATTTCCTCCCACCACACTTTCCTCTCTATTCCTAAAGCCAAAATCTGACCAAATTTTTGCTATTTTACACCTAAACAATTGTGACCTCTTGACCAAAATGCCACCACCAAACACAACCAGCTTTCTGAAAAAACTACTCAGGTGGGCTTAGTGTTACTTCGCCCCATCGCTGATGGAGCAAAGATGCTTGTAGATGATGGGACAGAATGATGAATAAAAAACATTACAATCCCACCTGGTGATTTTCCTTGTAAGTTTGAATTAGTAACTCTTTCAATTCCTTCTTTCTTTCTTTTGCCAATTTTTCTTCCTCCTGAAGAATATGATCATGATGAAACGCGCCTTTTTCTGGATGTTTTGGAGAACTTTCTTCTTGCTTTTTCTTTTCTCTATTTATAACAATTTAAAAATACATACATAAACAATAGACTTAACAATGAGTAGTTACAGACCATTGTGGAATGATACTAAATTTTCCATCAGAAGACACAGATTTAGATTTGGCTTTAAAACTACATGATAGGGCCCTGGCTGGTGTGGCTCAGGGCATTGAGTGCCAGCCTGAGAACCAAAGGTTCACTAGCTTGATTCCCAGTCAGAGCACATACCTGGGTTGCAGGCCAGGTGTCCAGTAGGGGGTGCTCGAGAGGCAACCACACATTGATGTTTCTCTCCCTCCCTTCCCCTGTCTAAAAATAAATAAATAAAATCTTTAAAACAAAAACAAAAATAAAAAACTACATGGTATGATGATTTTTTACCATGAGCCTTAATTTATTCCTTTTTAAAAATAAAGTATGGATTAAATGAAAGGAAATTGTTATAATATGTTCTGAAAAGTAGAAAAGCATTATCGGCTCATGGTAAAAAACCGAGAGGGAGATAAAAGCTATCCATATTTCCACACAGACTAAAACACTGATAACATGCCAGTGCTGTTTCACTACAAAGTTACTGTTTATTCATTCCTCCACTATTTATTAATGCCTGTTATCATAAGTAATATTACTTTAATTATCTTTGTGCACAAATCTTTGTCTGGATTTCTGATCATTTTCTTAGGGCAGTTTCCCTAGAATTGGAAATTCCCAGGTCAAGTGATACTAACATTTTTATGGCTCTTGTGTTTATTACCAAATCGCTTTCTGGAACGTTTAAATCAGTTCATCCGCCAGAAGAACAGCACAATATCTGTCTCACTGTAACCATGGATAAGATTTTAACTTTTAAAAGAAATAACTGGTGAGTGATCATTTGCTGAGTGCCCACTGGAGCAGAGCTCCCTGCTACCAACAAATGTTACTAGCTTCACAGTTTATTTCAGGTCAGCCTACATTTCTCAGGGCTTAAGAGCAATGGGAAAAGCATAGCTGACCTTAGCAAGAAGTCACTAAAACACTGGTGATTGCTTTCTAAGAGGAATGGCGTCCAGAGGAGGCCTGGGCCCAGCACTTGAAAGTGAAGGGCAAGCCCACTGCAGAGCTGTTTTAAAGTGGGTAGAATGAGAGCAATCAAGAACACAGAGGGCAAAGCTGTGTGGGCTGATGGGCGTGGAAGCGGTTATCTAATAGGTCTTTGTGGCCTCTCTGAGTATTCAGTCACTTCAGGCGCACTGTTCCCAGGCCTTTGCAGTTCAAGCATCAATGCTGTGTCTCTGAATAAATACATGTTACTTCCTTTGTGAAGCTCATTTTCTTCATGAGGACACATAATAGTACTACATCCTGTGAGAACTACTTTGATTTTCCTCTTATGTCAGATATTCCTTTTCTTTATCAGTGGCAGCCTGGCCATGGAGACTCTCCCTGTGATTGTCGGAAGACGCTACACCAACGCCATTCACAATAGAATAAGGCACAATTAGTGACTGTGCGTAAGGAAACACATTAAACCTTCAAAGTGTTCAGATAACCTAAGAGATGCAAGCCAACCAATATAATACCTATCACAAGTGCAAAGTACATTGAAAATGAGGATACTCCTCAATGCTAAGAAAACTAGTAAACCGGACCACGGCCAAAATAGTAATAGTCCAATCCATTTGGAAAGCAACCTGGCAATATTTCAAGAGTCATAAAAAGGCCTTCTACCATTTAACTCAGTAATTACAATCCTAAGAATATAATTCAAAGGAATAAAAAAGTTCTTTGCTTAAGGATGCTCAGTGCATTATTGGTGGAAAAGTCTGAAATAGCTGTAATGCTTACCAGTATAAGGAGATTATTACATAAATTATGGTATAGAACTCAGTGGAGTAACTTACAAACCTCAGGACTCCAGTTAATGTGATAATTACAACAACCAGATAACAAATTAAATGTATTTTATAGTTGCAATTAAGTATGTAAAGGGACGAAGACCAGGAAGACATATAGAAGAGTGAAAAGAGTTAATTTGTTAAGATGGTGGAATAGTGGGTGATTTCTCTGTTGTGTTTTGTAATTTTAATGTTTGTCCATTTAAAAAAACTTTAGTGTACTTCCAAAATGACTGCTTGAACAAAAACAAACTCTACACTGCTCATCACAGCTGACTTACATTTTCCAAGCTTCTTCCACGGTGCGCCTCCTCTCAATTATCTCTCTCCGCAGCTTTACCATCTCCCTTTGAATCTCCTCCTCCTCTTTCTTGGCCTCCAGAGCCTTCCTTTTCTTCTCTTCCTGTACCAGATACTGAGCCTCTAAGAAGGCTGATTTTTTCAGGGTCTTTTCAATTCTCTGGCGCTCCAATTCTTTCTCCCGTCTTAAGCGATTTTCTTTTACCTTAAGGAGAACACAAAGGTAAAATGCAGTTTTTCAAGTAGAAAAGAGATTTGCAAAATCATAGAACACATTTTGAAGTTCAGAATATACCCACTCTGCTCCAGAACTCCTATGTTTATCAGAAGAATGGAGGGAATTCATTTGTTTACTGGGTAAGGGCCAATACAAAATTTTAAGTGAAGTTAGGTAAGATGACTCTCAAACAGTTAGGGAATTATCTGCACCACGGAAAAGTCGAAAACCTAATGGGTCAGCTGCCAAGGTCTGAATTCTTATTTAGTAATGATTTCCCACCCATAAGATTTTTCAAAATATACATTACTACTATTTATTTATTTATATGTCTACATACTAATTATAATCTTTTTAAAAATAGTATTTGGGGGAGGCTACATTGTGAAGGCTAGAACAGTGATTTACAGATGGTCCCCAACTTATGACTGCTTGACTTACAATTTTTTGACTTTACAATGGTATAAAAGCAATATGTCTTCAGTAGACACCATACTTCAAATTCTGAATTTTGATCTTTTCCTGGGCTAGTGGTATGTGGTATAACACTTTCCCATAATACTGGGCAGCAGCAGTGAGATTAATTCACTCACCTGGAAGTTAATGTGCGTTACCGTATTTTGCTGTGTATAATGCACACTTTTTTACCAAATTTTTGAGGGAAAAATAAAGATGCAAATTATACATGGGTAGTACTAATTCTGTATCTATATAAATGTCTTTACTTCTTTTATTTATGCTTATGCATTAAAAGTGTAACACTAGAGAGCAGTAACAATATTTGTATGCAAAAGAATACCCTGGAATATGTTCATCAATTTTGTTTCTAAATAGAAATAAATAAATGGATTAAAAATTAAAATAAAATATTTTTTCCCTGAAAGTTTGGGCCAAAAACGTGGGCGTGCACTATACACAGGAGTGCATTTTATACACAGCAAAAAACAGTAAATGCTGTTTTGACTCACTATATTTTCAACTTACAGTGGGTATATGGAGGTCTAACCCTATCACAAGTCAAGGAGCATCTATATTGTCTTAAAGAACACCACAATCCTTTATTTATTTCTATCGCTATTTAAACATTAATGATTCTGGGTCAAATTTGAAAATCAAAACCATGAACTTCACAGATATCTCTGAATAAGCACAGTGATTTTTTAAAATCTACTAATTCGCAGGGGTGTCCAACCTGCAGCCTGTAGGATGGCTCTGCAGCCCAGGATGGCTGTGACTGCGGCTCAACACAAAATTCTAAATTAACTCAGGACATAAGGATATATTTTGTGGTCACATGTTGTAGTGTATTTAACGTGTAGCCCAAGACAACTCTTCTTTTACCAGGGTGGTGCAGAGGCGCCAAAAGGTTGGACACCCCTGCTAGAGGCTGGACTAGTTATAAATGAAGGATTGGTCCTTCCCCTCCTGCTTCACTTGACTTTACTCGTATCTTACCCTTCAGATATATGACTTCTAGCTAATGGCTATCTCTTATTGAAACGTCTTTCCTCCTCCTTCTTACAAATCCAAAATAGGGTGTACTTCTATGTAGTTTTCCTACCATGCCCAGTCCTGATTAGGCACATCTTATCATTTAAAGCAATCAGAAGTTCAGTGTTATGAAAGACAGCACACATGTCTAGACATGAGTTCTGGTTTAGTCTTGGCAATGGACATGTAGCAAAGAGAGTCCTTCTGATTCCCTGAAGCTTCTCTGCAAAGTGTGGAGATGCATCTTTTTCCTATAACCTACTATTCCCTTCAGAGAAAAGAAAGTTTCCATATGACTTTCTAATTCAAAACAGCTGAACTAGATTTAATTCAGATTTGTCCTCCCTTTCAAATTATAATCACAAAACGAGTGAATTTTTTTCAGTTGTCTAGAAAAGAATTATCATTATAACATTCATCAGAATATTCATGATATTAACATATCGATGTGTCAATTCAAAAACCAAATTCAAGCAAAACCCAATCTACATACTTATAACAGGAAGTACCACATCCAACTAATAAAGTTCAGCTCATAACTCTATTGGTCAAATTCAATTATTCCTTTTTTGGATGTTTCTTAAATAGTTTCCTATCCTCAGTTTATGAGCACTACTTTTCTTCTGAAGTTCTTTTATTTTATTCTTTCTAACTGAACCACAGATGGCACCCTTTTTCATAATAAATCCTCAGTCTTTATTTAAGCTTATTAAATGTGTTATACAAAGATTGCTTCCTGTTATCCATTTTAATGTTGTTTTTCCCTCCCACCTGCTTATGTCTTATCTCCATGGTAAGACGAGGATCCTTCTGCTGCTTCTTGTCTTGCTTTCCATTCATTCCAAGATCTTCCAACATCCCAGAACCCACCACATCTTTATGGAGCAGATGGTCTATAAATTTTTGAACCGTGGTACTTTCCTCTTCTTCCTCCAAATAGCCACAGAAATCTGGAGGAAACAGAAAAATGACAAAAAATTTTTTTAATTAAAAAATGTTAATATAATTTCCATATTTATGTAAACAATCGTGGTACAATAAAAAATACAATACTGTTAGTGTTCAATACATAGTAACTGCTAATGCCCATTGGATGAGTATAGTCCTCAGCAATAAACTGCAACTAAGAGGGAAAAAACCTCCACTCATGAAGGACTGCCCTCACCCATGTCACTAAAGACTTCCTGACAAATTTATTTAATCTAAACGTCTTTGAGGACTCTGTTAGTTTTTGTGTTTTTAATCCTCACCTGAGGACACATTTTTATGGTTTTTAGAGGTGGGGGTGGAGAAGGAGAAACATTGATCAGTTTCCTTTCCAAATATGCCCCTACCAGGGATCAAACCTGAGGACTTTTGGTCTATGGGACAATGCTCCAACCAACTGAGCTACACTGGCCAGGGCTCTATTTTCTTTTTAATGACAATTGCAGTTGTAATTAACAAATAAAGTAAATATTTAAAAGTTTACAATGAGTTTTGACATATACATATACCAATAAACCATTACTACAACCACGATAATGAACATGTCTGTCAGCCTTAAAAACGTCCTTGTGCTTATTTCTAACTCTTCCTCTCGCTCTTCCCCAAGCTCTCGGCCCCATCCCACGCAAACACAGACCTGCTTTCTGTCACTACAGATATTACATTTTCTAGAGTTTTGTATCATTTAAGTCATATGCTATGTACTTTTTTGCGGGGGGGGGACAGTCAGGCTTCTTTTACTCAGAGTAATTATTTTGAGACTCATCCATGTTGTATCAATAGTTTATCTCTTTTTACTGCTGAGTAGTATTCCATTGTAAATGTATACCACAATTTATTCAATCATTCATCTGTGGAAATAACATTTGGATTATTTCCATATTTGGGCTATTGCAAATAAAGTTGTTAAGAACATTTATGTACAAGTTCTTGCATAAACATGTGCTTTCTTTTCCCTTAGGAAGAGAAACTTTTTAAGAAACTGCCAAACTGTTTTCCAAAATGGCTATATGATTTTATATTCTCACTAGCAGTACAGGAATATGCCAGTTCTTCCACATCCTTAACAATATTTAGTAAGGCCTTTTAATTTAAACCATTTTAATAGGTATGTAAATGGTAGTTTTAACTTGTGTTATCCTAACAATTCACAATATTGAATATCTTCCTTGATGTTCTGTTCAGTACACTATGTAGTTACATACATTATTAAAAATAGGATATTGCCCTGATTGGTGTGGCTCAGTGGGTTGGGCATCGTCCTGTAAGCTAAAAGGTTGCTGGTTTGATTCCTAGTCAGGGCACATGCCTGGGTCATGGGCCAGGTCCTCAACTGGGGTCATACAAGAGGCAACCAATTGATGTTTCTCTCTCCCTTTCTTCCTCTCTCCCTTCTCCTCTCTCTAAAAATAAATAAATAAAATCTTAAAAATAAAGTAAAATAAAATGGGGTATTGAAGTTTCTAGTGATTATTGCTGAACTACCTATTTCTCCTTTCAATTCTGTCAGTTTCTGCTTCACATATTTTGGGACTCTTTTGTTACATATACATATGTTTATGCTTATGCTTTCATGATGGATTGATCCTTTGATCATTATAAAATGCCCTTCTTTGTCTCCAGTACCACTTTTTAAAAAATCTTAGTCTATTTTTTTTCTTGTATTAGCAAGCTGCTCTTGCTCTTTTTCTGGTCACAGTTTGCATAGTATATCTTTTTCCACCCTTTTACTTTCAACCTTTTTATATCTTTGAAACTAAATTGTGTCTCCTGTAGATATCATATAGGGAGGTCATGTTTTTAAATTCAATCTGCCAATTTGTCTTTTGATTGGAGTGTTTAATTCATTTATATTTAATGTAATTCCCAATAAGGTAGGAAATACATTTATCACCTTGGTATTTGTTTTCTATATGTCTTATGTAAATGCCCTTTGTTAAGTTAAAGAATTTACCTTCTACTACTAGTTTGTTAAGAGTTTTTAATCAGGACAAAGTACTTTTCCTGTGTCTACTGAGATAATCACATGTTAATCAATATTTTTGGTAAGCATCCTTTTTATGGCTACATAATAATTTTGTTTAATGTTTTACTAAAAAAACTAAATTAAATTAGACTAAACCCCCCAAAACAAAACTCTATAAGCATAAGATGAGTGAGGTCTGGATGACACTAGGCAGCAATAGCCAACCTAAGTAAAGAGACATAACTAGCTCCATTAGCACCATATGAAAGGAAATAATAGTTTCACTACATTTCATACATGCTTCAGAATAAATATGAAGTACTAAAATGCCTCACTTTAATAATGACATTAATAAACTAGAAAACATTCAGACGGTGGCAACCAGGATAAGATCTAGACACAATTAGATAATAAAGAACTGTTGAGAGAACTGAGGTTAATTTAATCTAGGAGCAGTGAAGTATATGAGGGATCAGATATTATTACAGCTTCCACAAAAACATAAAGACTGTTCTTGAGAGAGGGAATACATTATTATTTTCTGTGGCATTGTAGGGTAAAAGTTACTGAGGACAACTTCCAGCCAAGATGGAGGTGTAGGTAGACACACTGTGCCTCCTCACACAACCAAAAGGACAACAACAAATTTAAAAACAAAAAATAATCAGATCTGCCAGAAAGTCAAAGTGTATGGAAGTCTGACAACCAAGTGTAACAGGGTGTAGCCAAGGCAGGGGCCCAAATAGGAATTTGTAATGGGGTCCAGAATTCAGGGTGTTCAAGAAATATTAGAGAAAAAATATATATGATGTCCTCACTCCTGCCAGTCTGAGCTGGGGGATGGGATACATGGAGCAGGGCCATTGAGAGCTGTTTTGTACAGCAACAGCTTCGCAGCTAACCTCAGGCATGGTCATTTAACATGTCATTTAACTGGTTTCATAGATATGTTAAATACCTGTGGCCATGCTTTGAGCCAGGGCAACTGGAGTGACTTCAAGCCAGGATGTAACTGGGAAGCAACTCCCCCTGGTTACAGCACCTGCATGAAAGCTTGGAGATGATTGGCTCCACACCAGAGGGCCATGACTGCCCACACTTACTATGGCAGCCCAGTAAAGCTGGAAGGATAGGGGAATGCTGGCAGGTGTAACTGATTGTGGGAAGGGTCAGAAATGGGGCTGCAGAGGAAGACTGGCGAAGTGCAGCAGCCATGACGGGAATCACCATGTGGCTTTGGGGTGCTCCCTTTTGCTACATGGCTTAGGAAGCAGGAGAGACTTTGCCTGGAAGAAAAGGGATGAAAGGACTCTTGCTAATGGGCGATGAGAAGGTGCCACATGGCTTTGGATTAACTGGAGATCATGGCAGTGACACAGCTGATGGTGCTGGGAGCCTGAATCACGGACTTCTGCTTCTTTTCCTGAGATACGGTACCCCAGACTGGGCAGAGGGAGAAGGAAGGACTGTGTGCATCTGTGGGTATCCTAAAGGACTTTGGTATATTAATGAAGACATTAAGTCATTACTCTTAAGTCCGTATAACCTTTAAATAAATAATTCCTTTTCTTTTTACCAATCTCTGGCATTGAGAGACATCTTTCATCTGGTGGCTGGCAAAGCGAACCTAGTACGGGAGGAACCCCTGGAGAAAAAGGGGGGGTCCTTTTGGTAATACTGTATCGTTCACTCCCCCCAGGGTCTGTTCTGTAACACAAGGAGTTAAAGAAGAAACAGTCATCAAGGCTGGCAGGGAGGGAGGAAATGGGCAGCTGGGGCAGAGAAGACTCATGGCAAGGCTGTGGCTGGAGGACCAGGGTAGGCCAGGGTGGCAAGGTGGCAGCTGGCAGATGGGGTGGTCCACATTTCTGTAGAGACAAACTGGAAAAAATAACTGGGAAGCAAGACAGACCACACAACCCAGAGTTCCAGTGCAGGGAAATAAAGCCTCAGAATCTCTGACTGAAAAAAACCTGTGGGGGTTGAGGCCATAGGAGAAACTCCCAGCCTCACAGGAGAGTCTGTTGGAGAGACCCACAGGGTCCTAATGCACACAAACCCACCCACTCAGGAATCAGCATCAAAAGGGCCCCATTTGCTTGTGGGTAACAGTGGAAATGACTGGAAGTCAGCCAAGAGCTGAGCAAGTGGCATTGTTCCCTCTCAGACCCCTGCCCCACACACAGCCCCACCATGCAGCAACGTGGGTTGCCCCGCCCTGGTGAAAACCTAAGGCTCCACCCCTGACTATGTAACAGGCACATTAAGATAAAAAAATAATGGCCCAAATGAAAGAACAGGTCAAAACTCCATAAAAAATACAACTAAGTGACAAAGAGATAGCCAACCTATCAGATGCAGAGTTCAAAACACTGGTAATCAGGATGCTCACAGAATTGGTTGAATATGGTTGCAAATTAGATGAAAAAAATGAAGGCTATGCTAAGTGAAATAAAGGAAAATGTACAGGGAACCAAGAGTGAAGGGAAGGAAACCGGGACTCAAACAAATGGTTTGGACCTGAAGTAAGAAAAAAACACTCAACTAGAACAGAATGAGAAACGAGAATTCAAAAAAATGTGGAGGCTTAGAAACCTGCAGGACATCTTTAAACATTCCAACATATGAATTATAGGGGTGCCAGAAGGAGAAGGGGAAGAGCAACAAGTGGAAAAGTTATTTGAACAAATAAAGGAGAACTTCCCCAATCTGGCAAAGGAAATAGACTTCCACGAAGTCCAAGAAGCTCAGTGAGTCCTAAAAATGTTGGACCCAAAGAAGCACATATCAAGGCACATCATAATTACATTATCCAAGATTAAAGAGGAGAGAATCTTAAAAGCAGCAAGAGAAAAGGACACAGTTGCCTCAAAAGGAGTTCCTAGAGTGTCAGCTGATTTTTCAAAAGAAACCTTGCAGAAAAGAAGGGTCTGGAAAGAAGTATTCAAAGTCAGGAAAGGCAAGGACCTACATCCAAGATGACTCTATCCTGCAAAGCTACCATTTAGAATGGAAGGGCAGATAAAGTGCTTCCCAGATAAGATCAAGTTCAAGAAGTTCATCATCACCAAGTCCTTATTATATGAAATGTTAAAGGGACTTATCTTAGAAAAAAAATGATCAAAATACCAACAGTAAAATAAAATTAGCATTTAAAAATCAAAAATAAAATACAAACAGTAAAATGACAATGAACTCAAACTATCAACAACTGAACCTAAAAAAACCCCACAACAACAAAAATGAACTAATCCAAAAACTAGAACAGGAACAGATTCACAGAAATAGAGATCACATGGAGGGTTACCAGCGGGGAGGGGAAGGAGAGAGAATGGGGGGAAAGGTACAGAGAATAAGAAGCATAAATGGTAGGTAGAACATAGACAGGGGGAGGTTAAGAATAGCACGGGAAATGGGGAAGCCAAAGAGCTTAAATGTAAGACCCATGGACATGAACTAAGGAGGGGAGGATGCTGGTGACAGGAGGGGTACAGGGCAGAGGAAAATAAGGGGGAGAAAAAAATAGGTCAACTCTAATAGCATAATCAATAAAATATATCTTTAAAAGTAAAAAAAAAGTTCCTGAGGATAAAATTCTAACTCTCCTAACTAAGAGGAAATGCAATGAAGAGGAGAGCCTCCCAGCAGCAGGAGGCGCCCCTCCGAAGTGCAGGCTCTGTGTCCTGGGAGGGGTTCAGGCAGAGACTGTGTCACCCCTACCAGGTGTGCTGTAGAAGGATCTCTGTGTAGGGGTGAAGAGAACAGATCGGACTAGGCGATCTTGAAGGACTCCTCTAACTTCAAGAGCTCATGACTTTGCGATTCCTGAGCTGCTGATCTTGAAGAGTCCTAACAAAGGGAACGCTGCCAGGTGAGTTCACCAAGGGTGTCCGAGTAATGCACAAGGAGCTGCCACCGCTGTCACCTGCTTACCGTTATGCTCAGGGGAAATAATCTCAAGACTGTGGCTACATTTGAGGAATCATCACAAGTTAGCCATTGAACTTGTCTGATACTAGCTTTGTGTACAAGAAATAATTTTTTATAAAGATATATAAAGGATTTGTAAATATAAAATGATGTATGAGTGTTCAAATGCAGTGTCCAAAATAAGTGGTCATCTAACAACATATAGGCAGAAGCACTCTTAAACAGCATTATTTACTATTATAATCACAAGAATTATAAATCATAGAATATTTTAAAGAACATTGTGAATTTACTGAAGATATAATTTAAATTGAGTCAAGAAAAATTAAAGCCAATTATAAACATAAGCAAAACACTGAAAAGCTAAATAACATATTTATTATTCAAAACAACTGAAAATAAATACATCCTTGCCCTGACCAGTGTGGCTAGTTGGTTGGGCGTTGTCCTGGAAAGTGAAAGGTTGCCAATTTGATTCGGGTCAGGGCACATGCCGAGGTTGTGGGTTCAGTCCTCGGTTGGGGTGCACATGACACTCATCCAATAGATGTTTCTCTGTCACATTGATGCTTCTCTCTCTCTCTCCCTCCCTTCCCTTCTCTCTAGAAATACATAAAATCTTAAAAAAAAGACACCTTAGACACATTTATTGGATGTTAAAGCTTAGAACAATGAGATCAGTTCTTACCATCAAACTTGTCATGTTTGAAATGATCACCGGCTTCTAACACAGGAGGGATACTTGACACAGTGTCTTCAGCTTCCCCGTCACTTGCTAGTTCTTGTTTAAGTTTGGTGTCTAACCACTCACTGACCAGCTCCTGAGCTACCAATAAAACAAAAACATTTTTTAAATATTTCAGTTACTTCAGAGACCTTACTTCATTCACTGTTTTCATTCATTCACTAAATTTTAATTGAGCTCTGATCATTTGTCCAGATGCATTGTTCTTGATGCTAGAAATACAGCAGTGAACAGAACAGGAAAAATTAAACCTACACCACACAGCTTACATTCTACTTGGGGAAGAGAGACCATAAACAACTAAACAAGAAGAGTAGAGCCCTGGCTGGTGTGGCATAGTAGCTTGAGCACTAGCCTGAAAACCAAAGGGTTGCTGGTTTGATTCCCAGCCAGGACACATGCCTGGGTTGTGGGCCAGGCTCCCAGTAGGGGACGCACAAGAGGCAACCATACCCTGATGTTTCTCTCCCTCTCTTACCCTCTCTCTAAAAATAAATAAAAAAGTAAAAAAAAAATTTTAAATCAAAGCAGGAGAAAAAGAAATGGTATACAAGAAATGGAAGATAGGCATTGGTAGTTTTAAATTGGGTGGTAAAAGTGGTCTCACAGTGAAGATATTTGAGCAAAGAAGGGAAGGAAGTGAGGGTGTGAGCCATATGGATATGTAAGGGACATTACTCCATGCCTAAGGCAGGCGAGTGTTCAGTGTGTTGGGAGAAACAGTAAGGAGGCAGTGTAGCTGGAGAGTGAGTGAAGGGCATGGAAGAAAGGGTAGAAGATGAGGTGGTAGTGGTAATGTGGGCATCAAGTTTAGAGCAGTGATTCTAGATTAGGGCAAAAGTGTGCTGCTAGGGACATTTGGCAATGTCTGCAGCCATTTTTTGTTGTCACACCTGGAGGAGGTAATACTGGCATTTAGCAGGTAGAGACTGGGGATGCTGCTAAACATCCTGCAACGCACACGGCATCACCAACAGAACTTATCTGGCCCAAAATGTCAACAGTGCTGAGGTTGAAAACCCTTTCTTTAGAGTCCTGACACCATTATAGGTACTTTGGCTTTTACTCCGAATGCACTGGGAAGCCCCAGCAGGGTTTTGAGCAATGAGGCCACTCTGCCTACTATGTTAAAATAAACTATAGGGGATACACTCGGAGGCAGGGCACACCAACTGGAAGACCAATGCAGTGATCTAGGAGAGGGGTGATGATGACCGGGACCTCGAGGATATTACCATTTATTAAAAATGGTAATACTGTAAAAAATAGTGTTTTGAGGTAAAGTTGACATGATTTGCTGATGGACTGGATATGGGATGCGAGAGAAATAAATGTACAGGTTTTTGGCCTAAGCATCTGCAAGAATGGAGATACCACTCACTGAGCCAGGGAAGGCCAAGGGAGCAGCAGGTTGGGAGGAAGGTCAGGAGTTCAGTTTTAGACTTGTTAGGTTTGAGATGCTTATGATATCCAAATAGGGATGTCAAATGGGTATTTCAGGGGACAGGTGAAGAAATCCAAGCTGAAGAAATTAATGTGGGTGTTATTAACATACAGATGGTACCAGAAGCTGTAAAAGTGGATGAAGTTGCCAGAGGAAGGTGGATAGAGACCGGTTCAAGGACCAACCCTGAGGAACTCCAGTATTTACAGGCTGCAGAGATAAGGCAGAACCAGGAAAGCAAACTAGGAGGAAACGGTCACTGAGACAGGAGAAAAAAAACTGAATGTGATATCCTGAAGGCCAACTGCATTTGGATTTCTTTCCTAATGGTATCAAGAAAAATCTTAAATGCGCAGGTGAGAAAACATCTACTTTAGTATTACCTTCTTCATTTTCAAAGTTCTTATGGGTATGGTATGGGGGTTTCAAAGAAGAAAAATATCCCCCCCCCAAATTTATTTATAAAAAATTGTGTATTTATTCTTACATGTTTAAACTTCAGTCACCTTCAAAGTTCTCTCTATTTGATGCAATACACCTAGTGAGATGTATTTTCCACTGCTCAAAACAGTTTTTGAACTCTTCGATTTTGGTGCCTTTTAGTGCTTCTGCCACTTTTTCTTTCACTTTTTCCACTTCGGCAAAATGTTTCCCTTTGAGGACTTTTTTACCCAGGGAAACAGACCAAGGGAAAAGAAAAGTCGCTTTGGGTGAGTTCAGGTGAACGGGGAGGGCGGGGCATGCGCATCGTGCCGCTTGTGGTCAGAAACACTCAGCGCAGTGTGGGCAGGTGCGCTGGTCAGTTACCCACCATGAAATGGGCAAACAGGCTGAAACTGTCTTCAACAAAAATCCACTGAGGCTGAACCCGGCCTCTCATGGTAACACCAGTTGGTACACTGATACAGATTGGTTTCTAGAATACTCACCTAGCAGGGGAAGTCTGTATTACCAGGGGCGTGCCCTCTAGAAAATTATTCCATTTGGGGGGTTTCCCCCTCATATGTCAGCATTGTCTTCATCATTAGTATCTTTATCACATAGCCCTGAGAGAATGGAATGTTTCTATACATTAAATGATGCTAAAAGGCACTTAATATAGATTGATATACATAAAACAGGAAAAAATGAATCAAGGTAGTAGAAAATAGATATAAAAAGTATATTAGCAACAAACATTTTTGGCTTTCAGAGGAAAGCAGAGAAAGGGAGCAGACATTTACTGAGAAACCCTTTGTACAATTCAGATATGCATGTGCATAATAACTTATATATAGAATAATTCAGATCTACTAAACACACTTCATTGGTAAATAGAGGTTTATAATAGTCCCGCACCCCCTTACCCATGGGAGAAATGTTCTAAGACTCCCAGCAAATGCCTGAAACAGTGGGCAGTGCCAAATCCTATGTGTACTGTTTTATCCTATACACACACACCTATAATAAAGTTTAGTTTATAATTAGGCACAATAAGAGATTAACAATAAAACAGAACAGTTATAACAATATACTATGATAAAAGTTATGTGAATGTAGTTTCTTTCAAAATATCTTATTGTTCTACATTCACCTTTTTACTTAACGGAAGCACTTACAGCTTCTTTGGTGTATCTGAATTGCCAGCATCACTACTCTTGTACATTATTAACGGAACTAAATGTTACTTGAACACAAGCACTGTGATACGACCGCAGTCTGATAACCGGGACAGCTACTAGGTGACTCAGGGGAGGGTAGTGATTTTCAGTGTGGATAAGCTGGACGAAGGGATGATTCACATTAAAACAAAGCAGACAGTGAGAGATTTCATCATCTGCTCAAAATGACATGCAAGTTTAAATTTATGCATTTTATTTATTTATGGAATTTTCTATTTAATATTTTTCTGTGGAAAGTGAAACCATGGGTAAGGGGGGACTCCTATACTATAAAGTGTTCCAAAAGAATAAAAATGGTAACTTTCCCTGCAGTGTTCAACTGTAGGAACTCCTCACGCTGGACCAGAGAGGTATAGAAGGCTAACTTGAAGCAGAGCTTCTCAAAGGATGCTCCTCAGAACACTAGGTCATGTAGGGTATTAACAGCTGGTTGATGAGAGGAGAAGAGGATAAAAACCTTCAAAAAACCACATTCCATCCATACAACAGTACTTCCTAATGTGGTCACTAGTTTCTCAGGATAATAATAGGTATTTCTGGATAAAAAGAGTTTCGTGGTATAGGAAAGTTGGGAACTGGGATAAGTGAAAACATTTTTAACTGCAGGACTTCTCAGAAACCTTCTAAAGTATATTGTGTAATCCTATTGGTGGAATGGAAAGTAGGATGGATAAGACATCCCTTGCCAATTTCCGAATCCAGCTCCTCCCTCCGTCTCCAGCACTACCAGTCTCCCAAGACCAGGGACTATTACTGCCACCCCGGCCACTGCCACAGTCTCCCACTGTTCTCCCTTTTCCCTCATTCTCTCCCCTACGATTAATTTTTAATACATAAAAAAAAGTTATTCTATTAAAACCTTTCAATGCATAAATTACCTTGCTTAAAACCTTTCAATGATGCCTCATCATACTCCACAGAAAATCTAAATTCTTTTTGCGGGTTTATAAGGCCCTGTGTGACATGTCTCCTGTGCACTCTTGCAAAGCCACCTCCTTTGGGAAGGTCGAGCCACACTGGTCACCGCACTGGTCATCCTTCAGTTCTTGTAGCTTCTCTGTACTTTATCTCTCTTTTTCTTTTTTAAAGATTTTATTTATTTCTTTTAGAGAGAGGGTATGGGAGGGGGAAAGAGAGAGAAGCATCAATGTGTGGTCCCCTCTCACGTGCCCTCTGCCAGGGACCTAGCCTGCAACCCAGGCAGGTGCCCTGACTGGGAATCAAACCAGTGGCCCCTTAGGTCACAGGCTGGTGCTCAATCCACTGAGCCATACCAGCCAGGGCTCTACTTTAGCCCTTGACGCCACCTTTCTCTCAGCCTGGGTTGTTCTTCCTCCATTACTGCTCAGAAAGCTCCTTTTTGTTATTCAGGTCCAGATTTGAGTGACATGTCACTATCTGATAATTTCTAAAATTTTCTTTATTCCCACACTAAAATGTATACCACATAAAAGCCAAGGCTTTGCCTGTCTTGTTCACAACCTGTTCCTCTAGTGCCTAAAATAGTTCCTGACACTGAACAGATTTAAATATATATGTGTTGAATAAAAGAAGTAAACTGAATAACTGGAGACATAAATAATCCAGATGGAAGCTGGCTTCCAGCACATGGTACTGACTTTCCTCCTGTCTCTGTGGCCTCTCCTTCCCAGGCTTTTTTGCTAGCTCCTCCTCATCCCTTCTTCCCTAAACAGTGGAGTTAGTCAGGGCATCAGTAACTAAAACACCAAACTGCAGAGCAGTAAATGCTTTGGGGAGGTAGGGAGGTTAGATCAGTTGTAGACTCTCTTCATAAGGAACAAAGCTGAGTTATAAACTAGTGGTCGAATTCACAGGCTGCCCTCTGAGCCACTCAACTAATACCTTCCAACACTCATCAGTTAACTGTGACGTCAGACTGCCTCTGGTTGTGGTTCTACTTCAGAAGACAAAATGGGGCTTAAATACTGCCTATCCTGTAATACTGAGTTAATTCCAGAGTAAATTAGGTTAAGGGCAGTAAAGTAAACAAAACTTAAGGAGAAAGAAAAGCTTTCTTTCATACTTTGGAATTCATTATAGGTTATGCTGTAATAGGTTGTACTCCAAAAAACTGTTAACCTCCAAGCAGGAAAATGCAGTCTCTCACCTTCTGCATAGACTTCATCATGATCCTCTATTTGCTCAGATGTTTCCAAATCTATATTTTGGCTCCAAAGCCTTCTGAATAAGTCAGAATTTCCAGCAGAAAATGCTTTCGAAACTCCAAATTCTGAAGCTCTCTCCACTTTCTTTAATATAACAAAAAAAAAATCCATTAAGATGACAACTTTGTACAGCGTTAGAACATTTCTCTCCAACCCTCAAGAATCTGATTTTTTACCAGTTACTAAAATACTTTCATTTTTCCATTTCTTCAGGGACTGTGAGGCTTAAACATCCACCCTAAATAATTCCATTCATTAAACATGAAATTAACTATAGTATTTTACCGAGTTTTAACAGGTGTTCACAACGTTTATATTAGAACAAAATGTTATCTAAGCTTTAGATAACTTTTGCTAAGCATTAGTTATGGGATTCTGACACCTGAATATTTTATTTTAAGTAAAAAATATACTATTAGTTTCCAGGCTGCTAAAATTTGCATATGAATGTGAGCCAGAGGCAGAGTAGCCATACTTCCTCAAATTACTAACCTGAAAGAAGTACTCCACCATATGGGCAAACTACAGGCTAAATAAAATTGGCATAAATAATCTCTGAACTGTAGTTTTCAGAATATTTTAAGTCAACAGTAACGATCTAGTAGTAACAAGGCTGAATTCAGGGGCTTGGGGGAGGGGTTGGCAGAGGTGGACAAGCTTTCTCAGCATTTTGGCTTCCCCACACAGTGTAAAAGAGCTTATTTTACAATTAAAGCCCGGTTTTCCCCCCTTCCCGTCTCTGTAAACCTACTTTCCTCCATGTCTTCTGTGTCCCAGGTCTTCTAACTCGGGTAGTGACAACTCCATTCTTTCAGTTCCTCAAAAACCTTCTTGAATATGGTTTTTCTCACACTCTTTTTTCTTTCTTAACCCACATACAGGAAAACTGTTGACTCTATTTTGAAAACGTATCCAGGACCTGACCCCTTCTCGTCACCTCTACAGCTATTACTCTAGCTCAAGGCACCACAATTTCTTGACTGGTTTTCTATGACAGCTTCCAGCAAGCACAGCAGCCAGAGAGACCACTTTAAATGAAAGGCATAACATGTTAGAACTGCCCTCAAACCCTTCCATGGCTCCCTATTTCATTCAACTCAGAATAAAAACCTAAGTTCTTATATCAAGCTTCAAGGTCCTGCACCACCAGGCCCTTCAACCTCCAACCTCCTCTGCTACTTTGCCCATTGCTCCCTCGACTTCAGCCACACTAACCCCCTATTCCCTCCTCCTCAAATGTGCCAAGCATGTTCCCACCTCAGGACCTTTGCACTGAACTTCCCCTCTGTGGACTGCTGTCCCCGAGATATCCATATGACTTGTCCTCTCGCCCCCCACCCCAAGTCTTGACTCAAATGTGCACTTTGTAGTCAGGCCTTCGCGGACGATCCTGTACGGAATTGCAACCACCCCCCTCATGGCTCTCCCTATTCTCCTTCTGTTTTGACTTTATAGCACTTAAGACCTTATAATATTTGTCATTTGTTGTTCCCCCTAAGTAGAATGTAAACAGGAATTTTTGTCTTTTACATGCATGAAACCCCTAACACCTAGACGAGTATTTGACACATAATAGGTGCCCACAAATATCTGTTAAAAAAATGAATGAAAATTTTATTTTAAAAAGTCGCATTTTCCCATAGTTTACATTGTCACTAGACCTATTTTGAAAATGGGCTTGGTATGGCCAATCTTGGCATGGGCTTTCCATTTTAAGTATCAAGGTTTTCATATACCAAGTTTAAATCAGAAGCAGAGAAATAAAGTTAAAAAGTCAATAGTAATTTGAAAAAGATATAAAAAATAGAACACACAGGAAAGGATACGATGGTGGCTGGTATATGACATTTGCTGGATGGTTACAAAATGCTTGGTACACAGTTCTTCCCTTTAAGGTTCTTAAATTCTAAGACAGGAAGATGAATTTTACATATATTGTGTGTGATTATATGAATACACACACAAATATAAATAATGTGCAAATAAATCAACTTTAATTTTTAAACTAACACACACACATACAAAAAATAAATAACAGCCCTGGCCAGGAAGCTCAGTGGGTTGGAGCATCAACCCAATACACCAAGGTTGTGGGATTGATCCCCGGTCAGGGCACAGGGCATACTAGAGTCAACCAATGAATGCACAAATAAGTAGAACAACAAATTGATATTTCTCTCTCTCTCTCCCCTCTCCTCTCTAGAAGTCAATAAGTGAAAAATGTTTTAAAGTAATCTCTATATTTTTGTGTTTTAAAATAGTATGTCCTTACCATGTTTTTTTTAAATAAACATGTAAGAGACAGGAGAGGTCTACCCTACATTGTATTTCAGTGAAACAAACATCGTGTTGCTTGAACAAGTTATTCTTTAAGCTAGTTCACTGAGTGGTAGCTCTGTTGCCAGCTGTGATGAACATTAAGGGAAAAACAAAACTGAAATCTGACTTCAAAGAATTCACTTTTCTGTTGGTTTGTTTCCTATACCACGAGCCACTGCAAAAACAATTCTAAAGCAATACGGGGTGTGTGTGTGTGTGTGTGTGTGTGTGTGTGTGTGTGTGTGTATTTTAAAAACAACTAAATACCTTCTAAAGTTTATTACTTAAGAGCTACATTATATATAAGTAAGCAATTGGTAAAGGGACTATCTCAGTTATTTCCACGATCTTATAAATTCTCAGTACAGGCGTACCTTGGAGATACTGTGAATTTGATTCCGGACCACCACAGTAAAGTGAGTATCACAATAAAGCCACACAAAATGGTGGGGTTGTCCAGTGTACATAAAAGTAATGTTTACACTATACTGTAGTCTATTACGTGTGCAATAGTATTAGCTCTAAAAAACAATGTACTTGACTTCATTAAAAATACTTTGTTGCTAAAAAATGCTAACCAGCATCTGAGCCTTCAGCAAGTTATAATGTTTTTGCTGGTAGCAGGTCTTGCCTTCGTGTTGATAAAATTGTACTATCTGTGAAGTTCAATAGTGCAGAGCTCAGTAAGACGAGGAATACATGCATGTGCTCCTCACGTGCCATGGCACGCATCAATCCTACTGTCCACCCTACCGGACTCTCTGTAGACTATCGCCATCGATGGCACAAACAGCAGCTACGATGCACACCCTCATTACCTCAGGGCTCAGAAGTACAAACATGAGTTTCTTGAATGTGCAAATTGCCTGTTCATATATACTAGTTTGGGGAGTTATATATTTTTGAAAGTGCCCATTTCTTTTTCATTCACTCTGTATACAAGCAAATGCTTAACACTGTATCTGTGCGTATGAATGCCAAAATAATTCCCAAGAAAAGAGTATTACAAGATGGGATCAGGGGGTTGTGATGAGGGGAAGTTGTTCACTGAGAGGGACATCTCAAACTGAGCTTTAATGGAAGGATCTGAACTGGCCTCCCACAGAGGAAGGGTATTCCAAGCTGGGGGGATCAGCATGAGCTAAAGCAAAGGGAAGTCTTACATGACGGAGGGAAAGGAGATTAGCTAATGATAGGGAGTCACACAGAGTATTAGCAGAAGGGCTGTAAGAGGTAGGTTGATAGAGGGTCTTAAATGCCAGTCTGGATTTAGAATTTCATCTGATGGCATGTAGAATCACTGAAGGTCCAACACTGAAGAACTGACATGATGAAAGTGTTTAAAAAGCTCAAAGTAGCAGAATGTACTGGAGTAAGAAGATGAGTCAAACTTCCCATCAAGATGGAGGCACAGGTAAACATGCCTCGCCTCCTTGCACAACTATAAAAATTACAACTAGACTACGAAACAAATATCACCCAGATTTCTCAGAAAATCAAGCTATATGGAAGTCCAACAACCAAGGATTTAAAGAAACCACATTCATCCAGATGGGTAGGAGGGGTGGAGACGTGCGGAGAGGAGTGGAGGAGCGGAGAAGCACAGAGAGGCATGGAGACATGAAGTGGCCTGGACGGGAGGTGGAACAGGGGTTCCACACTCATGCGTGGTGGATGAAAACCGGGAGGCATCCCCCAGAAGCAAGGGACCCCAGCCCCAGACCATACAACCTAGGGATCCAGCACAAGGAAAATAAGTTTCATTAACTTCTGGATATAAAAACCAGTGATGGTTGGAGCAGTGGAACAAACTGCAGGATTCTCAGGAGACTCCTTTTAAAGGGCCCACAAAGGTCTTAGGATTTACGCAGACCTACCCGCTCTGGAATTCAGCACCATGGAAAGAAGTGGCAGACAGAGAAAAAGGGAAGTGACTGGCAACAGGGCAAGCACTGGGAGACAGCTTCCTCCTGTGCAAATCTCCAGATGCCAGGCAGCAGCACCGCCCCTCTCCGGACCCTCCACAACACAGTACCACAGAGCTGTAACACGGGTTGCCCTGCCCTGGTGATTAGCTAAGGCTCTAGCCCATACAACTTATAGGTGCACTTTTCTACAATAGGCCACGCTACTAAGACAGGGGGTCAAAGCAGCTTTACCTAATACACAGAAACAAACAGAAGGAGGCTGCCAAATTGAGGAGACCAAAAAACATGACCCAAATGACAGAACAGAGCAAAAACCCACAAAAAGACTAAACAAAATGAACATGAGCAACCTATCGGTGCAGAGTTCAAAACACTGGTCATAAGGATACTCAAAGAACTTACTGGGTACAGCAACAGCATAAAACAAATCTAGGAAAAATGAAGGTTACAAAAAGTGAAATAAAGAAAAATCTACAAGGAACTAACTGTGGGGAAGCCAAGAATTAAATCAATGATTTGGAATATAAGGAAGAAAAAAAGCATTCGATCAGAACAGCAAGAAGGAAAAAGAACTAACCCCCCCCACACACACACACAGACAAAAACGAGGATAGACTAAGGAGCCTCTGGGACATCCTCTAACATAACAACAACTAAATCAGGGCTGCCAGAAAGAGAAGAGGAAGAGCAAGAAACAGAAAACTTAGTTGAAAAAATAATGAAAGAAAACTTCCATAATTTGGCAAAGGAAACAGACATACAAGTCCAGGTAGCACAGAGTCCCAAACAAGTTGGACCCAAAGAGTGCCACATCAAGACACATCATAATTAAAATGCTAAAGGTTAAAGATAAAGAGAGACTCTTAAAAGCAGCAAGAGAAGAGCAGAAAGTTACCTACAAAGGAGTTCCCATAAGACTAGCAGCTGATTTCTCAAAAGAAACTTTGCAGACTAGGAGGGACTGGCAAGAAATATTCAAAGTGATGAAAAGCAAGGGCCTACAATCTAGATTACTCTGTCCAGCAAAGCTATCATTTAGAATGGAAGGGCAGATAAAGAGCTTCCCAGACAAGATAAAACTAAAGGAGGACATCATCACCAAGCCATTATTACATGAAATGTTAAGGGAAGTATATGAGAAAAAGATGAAAACTATGAACATTAAAAAGGCAACAAATTCACAACTATCAACAACTGAATCTAAAAAACAAATTAAGCCAACAACCAGAACAGGAAAAGAATCATAGATATGGAGATCATATGGAGGGTTATTAGGTGCAGGGGTAAGTAGAATGGGGGAAAAGGTAGAGAATAAGAAGCATAAAGAATAGGTACAAAATAGACAGGAGGATGTTAAGAACAGTACAGGGAATAGAGTAGCCAAAGAACTTATATGCATGACCCATGGACATGAACTACAGGGGAAGATTCCTGGAGGGAGTGGAGGTACAGGACACAGGGGGAAAAGAGGAAAAAATTAGGGCAACTGTAATAGCATAATCAATAAAATATATCCAAAAATAAAAATAAATAAATAAAAGAAGATGAGTCAGTCTATCAAATCAGGATAAGGATGAACTGTAAATTGTGGTGGACAATCCCTTTTGGGATGAACTACTCTAGGACTCACAGTTCTGTCAAGCATCTAAGTAACTTCAACATCCCTGGGGAAGTCCCACTCACATTCCAGCCTCAAGGTTTGCTCTGATGTCCTGTTTTCCAACAACCTTCCCTTTCATTACACTTTCATTGCAACCCACTGACATGGTCATCCTAAATCATGTCACAAAGAATTTTCCATTGGTCAAACCAAATGATGATCATCTCCCCTCCAACATCAACCTCCTACCCATGTCCCTCTTCCACTCCCCCTACTACACTACACTGGTGTCGCACCTACCCAAGTCACTACTAACCTATGAGTCCTTTAAAGGGTCTCCTTCCTTTCCTACTCTGTGTTGATATTCAGCTATGGTCTTTCATAAGCCTCACATCTCCTGTTTTTTTCCCTTCCCAATGAGAACTTTCAAGCCTGGATCTATCTGATTTAGCAATTTTCAGTACCACAAAAAATTATGGTTACCTGCTTCAGCCAAGTCCCCAGTGCCGTAGTTACATATTGACCTTCCTTTTCTGTTCTAAAGAAAGCCCATTCTCAACTTTCACCGTGCTCCACGTCCTTTCTATATTCCCCTCTCTTCCACATGACAAAGTCTTAGCTGATTTTGAGACGGTGGTCCACTACAGTAGATTTGGAAGTGTTAGGTCCAGAGGTTATACCTGTTTCAGGATACACCCAGAGTTGAGATATATTAGGAAGCGAAATCAGAAAAGAAGATATAGAATTTAACAGAGAGGTAGGAAAAGCTAGAAAAAACAGTGTTAAAAAAGATAATGGAGTTCTAGGATTAAAAAAAATAGGTAACCATAGCAAATGAACCTTAAAAAGTTTGAGGAGAAAGAAGAGACCATTAGATTTGGTGAGTAAATCATTTATGACAGCAGTTTCTATGGAGTGGTAAGAAACAGAAACTGGAGTAAAATAGGAATTGTGAACAAAAGAGGATAATAAAAACACAATGGCAAGAAGTCCAGGCTATACATCCAAAGGCATTAGATAAGAAAAAGAAATTGCATGACAATCAGAATGGATGCAGGGGTCAAATGAGGCCTTACTGATTTTTTTTTTTAAAGATAGGAGAGTTAAGGACATAATGGAAAGTTTAGAAGAAGATAAAAACCTGACCAAGTCATATTGGCTAACAACTCTATGAAAGAGAAAATGACTCCACCTATATTAGCAACTCCCTCCATGTGCTTCCATTACATTCTTAATTCTCCCAATGGCTTAAAATTGTTTATCTCCCTCTGAACTATAAACACTGGGAAGGCAGGGACTGTATCTGCCCTGTGCACGTTATTATCTTTAGTGCTCAAAATAGTGGCTAGCACTTAATGGGCACTTAATAAATACTGGGGTGGGGGGTGAAAAATGGTTAACAATGGTTAACCTATCTGGCCTAGGTTCCATCTGGCCTATTGTTCATAATACCTATTTAGATAAGTAACAACTCTTCAAACATTACCAGAGAGAAGACTATTTTCCCAGGAAAGTGCCACATCATTTTAAAGCATGTAGTGCACAAATGAATTGAGTATGCCAAGTTGCCAGAGAGGTACTCAGAAGCATGAACTTCAAGTGGTTTAACAGTATTTCTACTTAAATGGCAGTTGGACTCTAAAACACTCATTTCAGGCCTGGAAGAGATCTCAGAGGTTATCTAACCCAATCCCCCCACCTTCTCAGTGAATGCTCAGACATATTTTTCATTAGTCCTAACATTAAGTGACCATGTAGAATCCACTGGAATATTTCAGCAATAGAAAATACTTACAAGAATGCCCATTCCATTTTTGGATAGCTCTAGTGATTAAAAGATTCTTACTTGTGATGCACACATGGCTTTTACCTGTTGTATTGGTCCCACAGGTTAAAGTACCTACAGTACGGTCTTTCCAATGATCTGAGGAATGCCTCTCCTAAGGCTTCTCCTCTCCTCTGCTCAGCTAAAGAGTATAAAACTAAGGCAACATATGTAGTCACATGGGGACAAAAACAGCAAAATATGTGCAAAATAGAGACCTATTAGTATGCCTTTTCCATCTGATTATGTCTGAATATTAATTCTCTTTCTACCTTAATTGTTTAATACCCTTACCTTAATCCAATGTTCCACATTGTCAGGGTCAGAAGCAGGCTGCAGATAATATATACAGAATATTAATACACAGTACTATCATCATCACCTTTGCCATTTTAACCTATCCTTCTGACCAAAGTACATGAGAGTATCCTTTATTCTTCCCCCAGATCAGATCCCCCAAAGTTCAGCAACAAAAGAACAGAATGATGGTAAGAGGAAGAAACATGGAGCCTTCTCTGGGACATCATCTGAATGTTTTCATCTCCTGCCTAGGCCCACCATATTCTGACTTAATTGGCCTGGGGTAGAGCCCAGACATGAGTATTTTTTCAAGCCCCCCAGGATAAAGAGCCAAAACAGAGGAATGCTAGGTATAATATTTCTTGGAAAAACACAAACAAGCACTGATTAATCAGCCAGATTATTTAAGTGTCACAGAAGCAAATCTGCTTAGAGAAGGGCGTGTGCTTCTCCTCAGGCCGCTTTCTCAGGAGTAACCTGTAGCAAGAGGCTTTCCTCTCTTAACTAGAGCAGGGATATTGCTTGGTCCAGTAAGAACTGGGGAGGAGGGGTGCAGTGAGGGATAATCAATCTGCTACTGTTTTACAAAGCAGAAAACGAAGTGGAAATCACATAAATGCCTATCCAGATCAGTCACATGTTAATCAAAGTAATACACCTCCTTCTTAGTAACATTCAAAAGCTTGCAGAATTCCCCCTAATGGTTACTTAATGAATAATTTGCTAATAATTCAGGTGGGTTTTTTAAGAACTAAGGGAATATCTAAATATGGAGGAAGAAAAGATATAATCCTTTCACTTACATAACACTTCACCTTCAAAGCACCTTACAGATAATTAATTAATGGAACTGTACTGCTGGTTCTATTAAAGAATCAAAGAGGCCCTGGCTGGAGTAGCTCAGTAGATTGAGCACGGGCCTGCGAACCAGAGGATTCCCAGTCAGGGCACATGCCTGGGTTGCAGGCCAGTTCCCAGCAGGGGACCCACAAGAGGCCACCATACATTGATATTCTCTCCCTCTCTCCTTCCCTTCCCCGCTAAAGATAAATAAATAAAATCTTTTAAAAAACAGAATCAAAGAGCACATTGTATTAGAACACAAGTGAACTTCGAGGAGCTCTTGTGTTTTTACCCTTTCATCCTCCAGGAAGTAACTCCAGGAAGTAACAGTGAGCACTAGCAGTGAAAATCCTTCCTTTGGAGTCCTAAAAAATTGTCCCAAATTTTTACCTTTCATCGTCAAGTCTATATCCATAACCTAATTGGATCCAATCCATTATGGAACTGGTACATTGCAATAGGAATAGACTCTGTTTCCAACTCTCCAACACCTCCGTCTGCACCCTCCAGTATGTGGGGCAAGATATTCACCAGGTGGAATATAACCAGTGAGTTATATAGCTGGTATATTTAGAATGCGCTGCAAGCACAGCTTCCTAGGGCCCTTGGAAAAGTCACATGTCTATAGATTATATTTTTAAGAAAGTGTAACTTAAGGGTAAAAACAGCTGGTGAAACTTCTCTGGAGCTGAAAACTGAGAAGCCAGCTCCATTTTGGTACTCTCACCTACATACAAAGCATTTATTTTTATGGCTGTTAAAAAGGTAGCCTGTGGAAAGCACACATCGTGTGACCGACTTTGCACATGTCATTTATGTATATTTCAAGCTTAAAAATGGGGTTACCAGTTTTCCATGCTTTGGATGCTAATGTATCAAAGGAGGAAAGAAATATAAAGAGGGTCTATTTTTAAAATGCTGGTTGAATTTGTAAGTTTTCAAGTGAATCAAGTATTGATATATCCATTGCATTTCTGAGCTCATTTTACATATTTTGGGTAAAACTATTCACCCAAAATATGTAAAATGAGGGCTAGGGATATGAAACGGAGGACTTAACGTGAAGATCTTCCAATAAGATCAGTTCTCTATGACCTGCAAAGCATAAAAAATAAAAATAATGTGAGGGAACTTCGCTAAAATTGTGAGAGTGACAGTAAGTAGGAGGCAAAGGAGTTCGTGAATTATCTTCAACCAGACGAGCACTACCAGACCTCTCCGGTTTGTAAAAGAACGTTAGATAGAAACAGTTCTTCCATGATGCTGCCCACCAAAGTTGTAAGTTACCCAGACCCTAAAGTTCCTAGGGCCCCTTCACCAGGACAATGCTGGTAAAGGTAAAAAGGCATGCCAGATAAGGATGCTCTTGGTGGAAGAGGAAGGAAGTACAGGCGGGGCCGGTACCCGCCCCCCCGAAACTCCCGAGTGGGATGAATCACCTTGGGATTTGGCTTCCTTGTAAATTGTTTCCAGCGATTCCGCCCGGCCCTCTTCCACGAAGAGGACCCTTCCTGGGGCGCCAGCTGCATTTTACAGGTTCAGGACCGAACCTTGGCCGAAGCTGAAACAGCCGCTACACAGCACAATCTGCTCCAGGAGCACCCTGGGAATTGTATTTCCTCCGCTCCCAAGAAAGGCATCCGTGGGGGGCGCCTAAGAACCACCACTCCCAGAAGGCTTTGCGCAAGCGGAATGTGTTAGCTCAGTTACCCGTGGCAACGACCAAGGTCCGGCTTCCTTGCTTTCACTAAGGTTAGGTTTGCGATTTGGTTGCCTTTTACTGGCGCTTGGTGATGACGCAATGCTTCCTGATTGGCTCTGCCTCGGAGGCGGTGGTTTAGGAAAGCCAGAGTACTTCCGGCTGGACACATGGGAGCCAACTGTAGGGAATTTGAGGGGTCTGAAGGCTAAAAAAGTTGAGAGGTTTGTAGGTAAGTGGCCCCTCTCCCTAATGGTGTGGAGCTACTATGATTGAATGAGTCGCGTCGCTCCCAGACGTGATTGTGTTGTACTAGCTGTAACTGTACGCCCATTATGTCTCTTTTCTGGGTCTCCTGGTGGCTACCATAAATCCAGATTCTCTCAGATCGTGTGAGCGTCACCGCAGCTCTGAGTGAAAGGGGTCTCCTTTCGACTGGCGTCTGGATCAAGTTGTTAAGGGTCAAGTTGCTAGCCAGAGGTTTTTTTCCTGGGATTGCCCAGGGTACTTGAGAGGCTTGGGACGATCGCAAATCCCTGAGCTAAGCGCTTCACAAGCACTGGGGCGCTGGGAGATGGCTTATAGGGTAACGACAAATCCATCCTCATTGACCGAGCATAGATGTTTCCGTGGGCAAGTCCTTTCTGGATCACTGGGGTACATAAAGTAAGGTAGATATTTAGCGCGGGAGTTTAGGAACCAGTTACTTTGTGGTTATATAACCTCAGACAACTTGTTTAATTACTCTCGGACCCATTGGCAAAATGAGGGAGATAGTATCTAAATCACTGGAGTGTGGTATGTATAGAACTCTGCCAGGAAACGTAAACTAACGTAGACGTGAGATTGGTGAAAATGAGATCAGAGAAGCTGTGCCCTCACTTTTTGCACCAATCTTAGGACCTGTTCTGTGTCTTCATTACCCATCTGAAAGCTGATGGTTGATGAAATTGTATTACAGCCAAATCATGCAATGTCGTGAAGTAGTTATTTTAAAAGAGTAAGTTAGCTCTGTATCTCTTCTGGAAAGGTAACCATCAGCTATCTTTCAGCCATCGGTTATCTTTTGTGTGTACTCCTGGGGAGAAAAGCAAATTACAGAGAACTGCTTACAATGTTTCTTTTTTAAAAAAAAGAAAACACCCACTCATTCCCATATACAAATATGTTTAAACGTATGAGAATAGAAAGTTTGTAGAGGCTGGGAAGATGGATGGAGACTGATAAGGGAGATAAGGGAAAGGAAGAACAACTATATGACTATATATGACTATAAAATTACATCTTAATGTTAGAGTTAGTAAGTAAATATTGCACATGCTAGTGGACAAGATTTGGGACTTCTAACAGGCTACCAGCCTATAAGAGTACATACAGCCTCTAAAGCCAGACTTGTATGATTTAAGTCCTGGCTCTGCCTCTTTCCATGCAGTGACTTTGTTAGTCTCAGTTTTCTCATCTGTAAAATGCACATAGTAATAGCATCTGTCTTATAGGTATATATGATGATGCATATTAATGGAGTTAACACATAAAGAACAGTATTGATACATAGTTAATGTCCAATAAGTGCAATTTGCTGCTATTGTCATTGTCTTTAAATAGGTGAAATTAATTTGTTCAATTTTATTGTGATTACTAACGTATTCAGACTGACTTCTACAACCTTATTTTGTATTTTCTGTTTTTGGCCTCTTTTCCTCTTTCTTGCTCTTTATTGTATTAACCTATTCTTCTTTATCCTCTCCTGCCCCTCTGCAGTAAGGTTGGAGATTAGGCATTCTGTCATCAGCCTTTTAATGGTTACTTAAAAAAATTTTTAAACACACAAAGTTTAACACTACTCATTATCTTTCCTCTCCCAAATAATGTGAGGATTCTAAAATACTCTATTTCAAGAAGTCTTATGTTCAGTTACTGTATTCTAGAATTTTAGAGTCTGTTGTTTCCCTGTCTCAGAGTTAGCTTGAAGCACTGTATTGTTAGGAAGTCCTGACTTTTTTTCTGTGCATATACAAACCTTGTAGAGTGTGTATGAATTTAATTTAAAAAATACAATATATGAGCATAGATTTAAACTTTCTACAAGACTTAAATAACTCAGATGAGACAGAATTTTTGGAGTAAGGAAAGGAACCAGCAAATGCTTGTCTCTAGCCTTTTCTGAAAAATTCTAGACTATAGAATCTTCCATTAGTTATTATATTTCAAAACCTATTCTGTATTTGGTTGATTCTAGTATTCAGTCCCAATAACAGTCATTGCTTCATTAACTTTAAAGTGCATTTCTCATCTTTTTGCTCCTCCCTATTCAATTCCCCAGAATTGAATTGCAAAATGCAGTTTTTAACTTTGCTACAAATGGCTTCAGAGTTCTGTTAGTTTAAAATATATTTTTATCACTTGAAATCAGAAGGTTATGTGTATTACCTGATAGATCAATAAAGAATATGGTTGTGTAAACTAATGACTCTTATATTTTCTAGAGTATATTCTTATTATAATTTATGCAAATTATACAAAGATAATTTATATTTGCCCTGACCAGTGTAGCTGTACTGGGTGTTGTCCCACAAAGCAAAAGGTCACTGGTTCAATTCCTAGTCAGGGCAAATGCCTTGTTGCTGGTTTGGTTCCTGGTCAGGATGCAAAAGAGTCAGACAATTGTTATTTCTCTTTCACATCAGTGTTTCTCCCCCTCTCTTTCTCCCTCCTTTCCTCTCCCTTAAAATAAATAAATAAAATCTTTAAAAAATAATTTATATTTGTATAATTTTTTGGGTATACACTTTATTTTTTAACAGTTTTAATGTGTAATAACAGCTTTTTAAAAATTGCTTTTATGTTACTCTTTGTTAAAGCATAACTTTTCCCCCTTTATCTTCAATTCTATAGGTTTCACTGATACTTATTTTTATGTCTATCTTTGTGACGATTTGAAATAATGAAGGTAGATTCATAGAAAATTGACCAGGCTTCCTTAAACACATTTTATATTTATTTATTTATTTGTTTGTTTGTTTGTTTATTTATTTATTTATTTATAATTAATTTTTAGCATGAAATTTCTTATTGAACCATGCAGAAGGTAGTTATTATTTCTCAAATTCTAAATACTGTATTGGCTATTTTATTCCAATATAAGGATTTACAACTCCCAAAAAAGTAGTAGTAACATTTCTGAATATTTTTTAACGGATGATATATAATGCCTATTTGGTAATGCCTTGAACGATGGTTGACCTTCAGAGTGTGTTACAGCGTAATGCTTAAACGGGCAGGGTCTAAGGTTGGAGCCTCTAGATAGCTGTAATAACTTACCACTAATAAAACTGGGCCTACCTGCACTGGCAAGAATGCACTGGCAAGAGGGTGTGGTACCCACTGTAGATGTACCGGAATTTGTAAAGTGCCGGCATCTCCAATGACATTTTGTACATTTTCTGCCATGCCTGGGTACCAAATTTTGTAGTGTATTTTAAGGAGTGGAGTTTAGGATTTGTTTCACTAAGTAATAACTAATTAACAGCATCCAACAAAGTAATAAATGTTTTCCTATTTTTTCTCTGTATCTATAGAAATTATAAAGTATATCTTAATTTTTCTTTTATCAAGTGTTTTTCCTTACCATTTATAAAGGTAATGCTAAACTGCTTAATGCATACTCAACACAGTTTCTCACCTCTATTTGGACACCAGGTAAGAACAAATTGGAAAATAATTTCACCTTTCAGATATAATCTCTATGTTTTATCTTTTGATGTATATTCTTTTATGTATTTTTAACAAATACCAGAATGCAGTTTGGGGGCCCATTTTCTTCTTTTAACTACATATTAGACAAAATTGCTATGTTGCCTAGGATTCTCTTATGTTAGAGAAACAAAAATGGGTCATATTAATCAGCAGTAAATCCTAGACTGGAAATAGTAATAAGTAGGCTATCATTTAATTTTTCACAGGTTGCTATCTTTGCAAAATGATTAGCTTTTAGATGTCATAAAACTTCTGAATTTAATGCTCTTTTTTTAGCAGGACCTGAAAGAATTCCTCAAGATGAAGCTGAGTCTTACCAAGGTAGCTGATGGCTGTCGCCTAGGAAAAATAAAAAACCTAGGCAAAGCCCGGGACTGCTCCATGGACATCCCAGGCTGCCTTCTGTACACCAAGACTGGCTCTGCCCCACACCTGACCCATCACACACTGCATAAAATCCACGGGGTTCCTGCCATGGCTCAGCTGACACTGTCATCACTGTAAGTGTTAGGCCCAGCCATCTAAGTTTCAACTTTTGCATCAGCTTAGTTACCTTAACAAGGTTCAGTGAAGCAAGCAAAAAAGACTTTTTTTTGCTTATATGTGTAAAACTTGTAGATTTTTAGAATGATATCAGAAGAAATATATCAAATATATCATCTAGCCCTAATCTGGAAGCCATTGGCTGGGCCTATATGTTAAAGCTGCTTCATTTTTCCTATGAATCCAAGGTTTCGTCCTGCCCTCATTGCAGCTGCTCCCAGGGGTGACAGAGCTTAGCTTGGAGCCTAAAGGCTGCCTTCATGCGCCAGCCTCAAAGATTCCTCTGGTGTCTGCACGTGTACTTGCATGTACTGCTTATGGAAACCTAACTAATGGAGTTAGATCATTCTGTATAATGTGCATATATGGATGTTATCCTTAATTGCATAGTCTGCCTGTGTGATGAAATGCCTCTTCAGTATTGTGTGAATAATAAACTGCTTTTGAAGTGTCGGGGGGAGAAGAAAATCCAGATATTCTGGAGTAGTTGAACTTTGCCCGTTTCTCTTCTCACATTACCACTTGCAAATTGAAAAACTTTACTCTGGCTAAAGAAGTGGGCCTGGCGAGTTGGAACTCTGGAGCAATGGTGTATTTGTTGTTCAGGACTACATT